AGCTTGCGTAGCTTAACAGGCACAGAGTAGTTTGGTGTGCTGTCTTGGTTGAAACAGATTTCATTTGCCTGAGGTCTGTAAGGAATCAATTATTCAGCTTTTCTTAATGTTTATAGAGTCTTAGTTATAGATACTAATTATAATGTGTTAGAAACATGGCTTAAGTGAAGGGTCTGTCAAACGCAACGTCTATTATCATCACAGACTGTTTTAAATGACTTTGAAGTCTTCACTTAAACAAGGCTGATTTCTACATTCACACAATTGAGAGAAGTGCTTGTTTTTATTCAAAATGCGAGGGAATTGAAATTCTTCTGGAATCTTTTTCACCAACTCATGGTTTTTGTTCTACAAATCTGAACCTGAAGGAGGACATAAGAACTGAAATTATTCAGTCTTATATGTACAAGCCTAGTGACCGTTTTGCTGTTTTGAAATCACTCATGCCAGAATCAGAACTGCAGAATCAGTACAGCACAATTTAAATGGATTGTGCTGTGTTGTTGAATTTTTGTGCTGTATTATCCTGGGCTCCTCTAATCTTTTTAGTGCGTAAAGCAGGGTGGCTCATTGTTCGCAGTTCTGCTTTTGATGTCTGCCCTACTGCCATTTGTCTGGAGATATTCTGCACCTTTTACTCACATGGGTTTCCTCCTATGGTCTAAAGTTGTGTGGGTTGGTGTCTCGAAATTGCTATATGCATGTGTGTGTGTGTGCGTGCGTGTCCGTGCATACCTTGTAACTGTTCTGTTCACGGTGGGTCCTCTGCCTCCTATGATAGCCTTCTGTGGCCCTGTGTTGCTGAAAGAATTATGGAAAATGGATATTAGAAAACTTCCGTTCATGGCAATTGCCCGTTTTTGGTGGATTAAGTGACCCTCGATTAGCATTGATAGATAGGTCTTCTTGATAGATAGGTCTTCTTCTTTAATCCTGTAGGGGAAATTGCAAGATGCACTGGTCACAAAAATGTGAAAACAAATTAGATTTTTTTGTCTCAAAAATCACAGCAGCATATGGCAAACAGGCTAGTTTCTACATTGTACATTATGAAGCTGGAGTTTATGGTAGGATTTGCTGTTTGGAAACCACATCAATCCAAGGGCAAAGAAGCACAGATGCATAATCGGGTAGAGGGACTTAAAACCTGCCCGTTTGTCAGATATGTGGATGGGTTAATGTATCGCAGGAGTCATTAGATTCCATTCTAGCTCTCCATGATTCTGTAATGGCCAAGAAACAATGAGGCCATTTTACAAGAGCAGGTGCACCCTGTGTTTCCTTATACTGTGCTCCTATCCGAGAAGACAATGCCCCTACACACAACGTTAGAGAAACTCAAATGTTTTCAACGATACCAGAATGTCAGATGCATTTCAATGGACTGTCCAATCATCCGATCTAAACATCTTTAAATGATAATAGGAAGTCTTGCAGTGCAGAGGACAAAATACATTTCAACCCAGTTCACCGTTCAAATAATTGAAGGCTTTTCTTCATAAAGAAAGGCAAAACATGGTTTTAATTTTTAATATAAATAAGCTCATGCTTATGTTTGGTGAATATCATGTGTAAGACTTGAGAGGTATGAAAATTACTGGAGCGATATAATGGAAAAAAACAGGTAAAGGAAATGGAAGAATAATGGGATGCTTTTAAAACTTCATGCCAGGTGTATGGTACGTAAAATTATCACCTGAATTTAGCTACCTTATACATTTGTGGGAAAAAAATACCATGTCCTCCTACGATTAATGAGTAGCTGTCGGATAAGTTGACGGTCGTCTATGGCATTAGAAAGTCGCTTCTGCCCTCTACCTGGCCCATTCCCAGTGTCTCCTGCTTCACCTTATTCTTGTACGGCTGTCTTAGAAATTTTGAGCCTGGAAGCGGCCTGCTAGCAGAAACCATCATTAAACTAGGATTTCAAAATGCAGATTAGTTTATAAATATAGAGTGGTCTCTTAATTTTTTCCACGGCTCTATATTTAAACTGTGCATCTCAAAGTGTTTTAGTTTGTTAAGGAGAACTGTAACTAGAGTCATAATTCTGTGTCATTTTTCAGAGACATCAGCCGTAGTCCACTTGCTAACCACTTCCTGTGATTACTAGTGTCGTGCTTGGAGAACTGGGGACTCGTGTGAGTCTGTGTAAAAACCGGGGAAGACGGCAATACTTACAGTGCTATTAATCACAGACGGCATAGCTAATCCGGTCACCTGCTAACGAAAATCATGAAAATCAGAGCCGGTGAGTGGACACTGTCCCTGCGTCTGATCTGTATCTAGGGTGAGATGGCAGTAAGCTGGAGTATTTCTGGAAAATCTACCAATTATAATAGCGTCGATTGACATGTGAAGATGTGAGGCAGACACACATGACCGGTACTGGGACTTTTTCATTTTTGCAATACTGTATCATTAACTTTGATCAATTTTGTTTAAAATATAAAAATATTCTTATTTTGATAATTACGTTTCATTAAGTATTTACAGTTATGTTTCTACAGTTATGGGCAAGCTTAGTAATGTAGCCAAAGATATGTAATTTAATAAAAAGCTAACTTCCAAAGTAATTTATACAATAGAAAAATAAATGCATTAGTTATGTTGCTGCAATGCAATTACAGCGATGGTTCAAAATGTATTTAAGGAAAGATTACTAAAATCTAAGCTTGACTCATCACCCTGTGCTTGCTTGGCTTTGCGTCTGTATGTTTGAGTCACAAGGCCAGGGCCATGATGTTGAATGTCCTGCTGACTCATGACAAGAAGAGCAGTGGGTCTCTTGTCAGTTCAGACTTTTACTCGCCAAAGTAAAATGCCAGGATGCTTGTGCAGGTGGGGAAAAAGATGCCGAAATGAAGAGAGTAGCAGCAGGCTGTGAGTCGCTGGAGAAGCACGGTGGAGTCATTGCGATACAGCGAAAGCGTGGGGAATCATCGGCAAACCAGCTTAGGACCGCATGCGAACGTGACAAGTGGCAGCAAACTGCCTGAGGAAAATGGATAAATGGGTTAAAGAACCATGGTTATCATGGCTGTCAATCTGATAAGAGTTTACATCTACCTTAGGGTCTGATTCACCGTGATCCTCAATCAATACTACTACTACTATAGTACTACTACTAATAATAGTAATAATAATAATAATAGGTTACATTAAATAGTGCCTTTCAGAATCCCAAGGTTGCATATGATGTGAGCTTTTGTGGAAGGTAGGTGGAGGTGTAACTGTAACAGTGTCATACATGCCGCGTGTCTAAATTGGCCATAATGTACAAACGCCCCCCCCCCACAGGAGTCTGGCGTCCCGGCTAGGATGTACCCCTGCCTTGTGCCCTGTGAAATTAAAGTTGTTAAAATGTTGGTAAAAGAGGCTAAAACATACTTTAGTGAAGTAGCTTTTAAAGCAGATAGTTCTTGGGCATAAACCATGGTGTGAGATGTGTTATAGATGCTAAACGGGAACTTATTTATTACTCCAACAATATAGTGGACAGCAGACGGAGCTGCGGCATTGGTGTGTCACAGCGGAGAATGTTCACGCCCAGGCCGGTGTACCGAATCCGAGGCGGAGGCCCCAACCCGTACTCCGTGACTCCGTGGTACTCTTACTGGCGGTATGGTAAGTGCCTTGTCATCCCTCTCTATTTTGAAGAGGAGGTCACCTGTAACATTTATTTGTAAATTAAAAGTCCCCATTGCCAACCATGGCTAATGCCGCCATCTCTGTATACGTTTTGGTAGTATCTTGAGTTAAATGCAGGGTTGTGAGGACAGTGCTGATTTGCATTTGGGCATCAGAAGTACTGAAGAGGGTGGGGGGTGAGGATGGGGGGATGTTGTGAGGGACACGGCGCACGTTGGTTCATCGCTGCATGAATGTGATGAACTTCATTGCTGCATCTGATTCCGCAGCTGATAAAAATTGATCCACACCGCAGTAAATCGTACAGTACTGAAAAACCATTGACATTCTCCACATTTTTCAGAAAGATGTACTGCAAGTATTAGTCCTTAGGCTACGACAAATATTAAGAGCTGATAAGAACCACTAGCGTAAGCAATAATCTCCCCTAGATAAAGGGCAATACTGTGTTTAACATGGTGGCTGTACAGCTAAAAATGTGCTTACATGCTCTGTGATGAACATACTCTCCTTACAATTGGTCTGGACCTCTGTAACATGGAAGTATTATGGGGCAAGTGTTACTGTATTGAGTGAAAGGAAACCTTTCCAAATATATAACAGACTGGTAGATAGATAGATAGATAGATAGATAGATAGATGAATCCTGAACTCCTGTGACTGATGCAACAGATAGACAGTGAACAACAATACACTGCTAGCCTGGTGCTGTTATTTTCAGAGACCAATGCATATCTATAGTAACAAATAGTTATTTTTAAAATTAAATCCCCTGACAGAAGTTTTTTTTTTTTTTTTTTTAAGAAACCACAACTTTCTAAAAACATAACACAGGTACCATGATTACTGTTTGACATTTTGCTGAACCACTCGGAAATTTCCGACTTTAAATTATTTTCCCAGCTGTCCTGTAATAACTGTGAAATTGGTATTAAGTTTGAGTGCAGTGGTATAAATCAGGACAGCGCATACAAAGGCACAAAACAACCGGCATCCGTGCCCTTTACAGAGAATGATAAAACTCTGCTAATAATTTGCAGAAATGTTTCGACTTATGAGTAATTTTTGCTAATGACTAATATTGTAACTAAGTATATCAAAATAAGGAACAATCGTTTTTCAGCAGAAACATTTATTATTGGAAAATAATCTAACTATTCTAGTATCCACAAGCTTGTAGTTTTGTTTGATATATCTTTATATATGTCGTAATATATTTATCTTGTCTGATATATCCCCAAGTAGCAGATTGATACAGGTGGTTAAATCAATGTGAATATTTGTCAGTTAAATAACAGAATGGGTAAAACATTAATAACGTCATGACGAGCATTGTGACGTCACGTAATCTTTTAGAACACAACGGGGCGAAGGTGGCGAATCCTCTTTAGGTAAGTGCGTGTTTTTTTGTGATCGATGTGTTCCTCATGGTCGGTGCATTTTATTTTTTTAGCTCTTAGTGAAAGCAAACATGTGCTTGGGAAGGGGAAGTACAATTTCCTTTAAAGAGGAAACGCTACAATTTTATGGCTACGGTTTTCCATATTCTGTTATTTTTATTAAAAATGACCTTTAGGAACTTCCCATTTCTGTCACTAAACAGGGATTTTTTGAAAAAATAAAAAGTGAGAACTCAGTCCTGTTTTTCACACTCTTACAGTAAACAGAAACAGCGGTTGTGGTTTCAGTGATTGTTTTTCAGTCATGTGCTTTCTGGCAGACTCTATGCACCGCGCCGTCATTTTCCTCTCACCCTCTTGAACGGGCATTTGCGTTTTCAGCCGCCGTGATCGCGCTGCCACGCAAGCGGCATTTGAAATGACATTTAAAAGGGTAAATATTTGAACTTCTCCTCTCCAGTTATTTATTTTGTTTTAGACAGGAATCTGACTCACTCCTCTGACTGTGCTAGTTAGGTCTCTCCCTTAAATGAAAATATTCAGAAGAACCTCTTTGAAGTTATATGGGGGTAACTCTGTTGGTTTGGACACTACACTGGTGAACAGAAGGTCTCTGCCTGAATCCTATGGTCAGGAGGGGCATTTCAAAATTGGGCCCTTCAGCAAAGCTGACTTGATCTTAAAAAAAAAAAAACTAAATATATGTAATGGACAACAAGACCTTCATGTAGAACATACAGTATTGTATAAAAGTCTTAAACAGTCAAATAAAAATATGTTTAAATGATCTTCACATTTGTGAAAAACTATGATATTATGTCTTTTCAAAGTGTGTCAGCTTAGTCACCTCCTAAAATCTCCTAAATTCACCTCGGTATTTGAAGCAGCCGTCCGTTATGCATGTGTTTATTGACTTTACCACTAGCACATGGGTTTGGCTAATTAATGCTTTATCAGATCATTAAGTTACAGTATCTGGTGGTGGGACCCAAAAGCACACAGGAACTGGCTGTGCCGCTCCAGAGAGGAGGCCTAGGACCCAAACACTCTTCATCTAACCATCCAACAAGATATCAGTAACCTTTTGGTGGGCAGAATAAATTCTTGTTATTTTTTGTACATATTCTACAGTTTAGTTTTTTTCTTACCAAATATGCACTTATTACGCAGATATATAGTCTTAAACATTTTCTTTGACTGCTTAAGACTTTCACACTGCACTGTACATGGTATTGGTTTTGTGTGGGCGGCAATTTAACAGGAAATAACAGTGCATTCCTAATAAATTAATTATGTCTTAATGAACTCCATTTTCAAACTGCTTTTCCTGGATTGTGGAGTTAATGATAACACAATTATACATAAATTATAGTTATATAATATTAAAACAGACATATTTTGGGCGAGTTTATGCACTCATGAATATTAGAAGGACATTTTTATGTAATGTACAGTCCTGGGATGTTGATGAGAATGAATCGCTTCCCAAACTGCATTACGTACATTCTTGCATTACAGTAGTTACCCTTATTTTGAGGCAGCACCCTGCAGTAGGGTAGCATAGTGTTTATCTAAGTGGTTCTTTTATGAGCTGATACAAATAACATATTGGGTTGTCGCTTTCTATATAGATTATTTTGAAATCTTGATTCTAGGTATGTTTTTAATTAGTTTTTTTTTTTATTTAATACTACCGTGCACAATTGCCTACGCTGTGGCTAGCTGAAGTCCTCCTTCAAGCATTACAGGAGAGCTTATAGGCAATGAATTGGACAATTTTGCTTTTTTATATATTCTTTTTCTCAGGGGTTTTGAGGAAAATGGGTCATTCGTAACAATGTCAGTAGGGGAGTCAAAAGAGCTCACCTGTAATCAGCGGCATCGCTAGAGACTTTGTGGTCCATGAAGGTATATTACAATCCAGACTAATCCAGGCATTTTTCAGTTTATTTCAGGCCCCTGTCACTCAGGGGGGCCTGGAATCGTCCTAACAATTATGGCTCCCCTGCTTGTAAAATTCACATGAGTAAGAACAATACACCGCAGTCCTTCCGGGGACGGCTACCCTATGGAGAAGACACTCTTTGTCCATCAAGCCGTCCCTAAGGAATGCTAAGATTGAGCTTCATTTTTAGGAAACCACTCCCTCAAGTTACATTGACCTTTTTATGTTACTGCTGTTGATAGCTTCATCAGATATGTGCCAAAACTTATGGTTCCAGCAGACTTGCAAAGTATATTCATACTTGCAAAGTTATTTCTCAAAAGCTGTGGGTCGCAGGTTTCAGGACACAATAGTAACATGCGTCATGTTAACTGGAACCTGCTGGGATCAGTTTCGATTATGTGTCCCTCTGCTGGCCAAGGCGTGACATAACCTGTAAGCGCAGACATATTCAGACATCACTGGCTTCATTATTTAATTTCAGTCAAATTTAGCATTAGTGCCTATTAAATTAAACGGGTGGTCTTGAGAAGTGGAAGGAATTATGATGTCTTAATTAGTTAAAATTACTTTTTTCAAAATTTACATTTATAATCAAGATTTTGGTAAATAAAATACACGTCTAATAGTTTGTCACTAATGGCAAGTGAGTCAAAGCCTCTCGAGTGCTCCAGACATGCTGATTGCTGGGAAAATCTCCACAAGCAAATTACTGTAAATCCGTTACTTTTCGCCAAACTTCTCAACTAATGGGCCGGTTGTTTTCATTCTTGTTACCGTGGCCCTTTTCGCAGCCCATAAAACCCTTAAGCCCGGCCATTAACTTTCTAAGGCTTGTGTGGCACTGAAGCTTCTTGGCTTCTTGCCGGCATTGATCTGCGAGCCTCTGGTTACCACCTTAGCAAACCCAGTAAGCGGCCCTCAGCTGGGCTTGGGAGACGAGTGTAAAGAAACCGCAAGAGGTTCTGTGCAGACCAAGCTGCTTAAAGGGGATTTTGGGGGGGTTGTGGGGGGGGGGGCAAAGGAGTGGCAGGTTGGCATCCGTTTGTCATGTCCTGTTCCATGCGTGGGGAAATCGTCTGGACCCGAAAGACCCAGACGGTCCAGAGCAGCCCAGGTCTCGCAGGAAGAGCTGCATGGTCGCTCGCTTGTTCCTTCCGCCTGTTCCTGAGCCGCTTGTGGTGGTAATCGGAGTGGAACAAAGGCCTGACTGTTGGTGTGGCGTGAGTCGCACGTGCCCTGCTGTTCGTGCGAGAAGCCGCACGGCGACTCGCACGCCTGGTTTACGGGGCCTTTCCTCTGCTTCTCAGTCAGGGCACAATCAAGCCGGCAGCTCTCTACAAAACACGCTCTCTCCTCTGGCCAAAATAAATGTTATTGTAATTTTTTTTCAGAACAGCTGTTTATTATGGGATTTGCAGGAGGAGGGGGGACAGCGACAATTCTTACAGATATCGAACAGGCAAATCAAAGCACTCTGTAAAAGAAAAGCAACATAAAAGCAGATACAAAGTATTTGTGATGGTAGCATCACAAAGCCAGCCATGGTAACATCGTCAGAAGTGCCAAGGGACATGAGAAAAAATGCAAGATGGGATGCATTGCATGCGCTCTCCGCAACCTAGCATAACCCTGATATGGTAGCTGTGGCTTGCATGGTGTACCTGCATGAGCAGACAGTAACGAGATTCATATTTCATAGCAGAACGAGGAGAAGTGTAGCCGCGGGAACATCCTCCTGTACTTCAGAACTTTTCTGCTTTGCTTGCCACCGCATGGGAAGCTTTTAGGGGCCAGAGGTCAACACTTTGCAGAGAGAACAGATCTATCTCCCGCATATGATCAGCGGAGGTGCTGCAAGACGTGAGCTCTCCCCACTGCAGTCACCGGGAAACACAAATTCTGTCTTTCCCCGTGATATATGAATAGTCCTGTGGTCTCATCTGATGTTCTCACATCATTTATTCAGTGCTTACGCCCTCAGGGGATCAACCCGCTCCCACTCAATTTTAACTGCCCTTTACATCTCATTCACTCTGGCCGGAGTGAGTTTTACAGCGTGAATCATGTATGTCTCTGAATGGCCTCTCTGGGTCGAGAAATATAGGGGGTAAAAAATGAAAATGAGCCTTCTGGTGTAAATATGGTTTCTCACTTTTAGCAAGTCCATGGAAACACACAAAACTTCAGAAACAATGTTATCAATCTCATGTGTCCCCGCAATCCTGTATTGGATGAACAGATGGATGATGGATGGTTGGATCTCAAATGCAGGTTGTTTTTATTGGATAAAAATGTACCTATAGGAAAAGATGACAATAGTAATGTGGAATGACAGTAGTAAAACTGACACGCATTTCTTTTATTTCTCATAGCTATTTTCAGCAGAAAGAGAAATGCTGGTGTACCTTGTGACCCAAATGGAGGATGGCGCAACTACAATACGGTATTCGGTCACGGGCTGCCAGTCTGGCACTGATGATATAAGCAGAAGCGTTTCAGGGCTGCTGACGGTGTCACAGTGGGCCAGCCAATCATCCGAGAGGTTCAGCGCTTTGTCTCTCCCTGTCAGGCCGGGGAGCCCCTCTTGTGAATTATGGGACAGAAGGCCTCAGCAGGAACTCCAGTCCGTGGCATGAAATGGGTTAAACCATCTACAGGGTCATTTGGGGATCGGAAGGAGGCTGCCAAGGTCTGACAGGGGGTCCCAGGGGTCGTCTTTAAGTGCCAGTTAAAACACATGTGAAACTAAGTACAAGACCCCGATTTTTCCACTTTATTTTGGTATTATATATACTTGGGGGATTTTATATTAGGAATGAGTTTAAAACTAATGATGTTTTGTCATATTTTAAAGAAGGATTCATGTCAGAATTTTAATAATTCTTCTGAAAGACCCATTAGTATTTAATCACAATTAAAATTTATTTCTGAGTTTTCAATCAGCTGATGTGGGAGAAATGTACACAATTCTGAATTTATAGCTTCACACTTCATATTCTCACATCACAGTTCACATTTCATGTTTCATTCCTTTTTCATTTTGTTTTTTATTTTTCAAATTCAAATTTTATTTGTCACATACATCATCATACATAGAACAACCTACAGTGAAATGCTTATTGCAACTGCTCCAATTAAATATTGCTAGAAACTATATAAAAAGAGATTAAATAGATTAGATATAGTACTATCTATACTATATACAGGGATATACAAAATATATATCTGCTATGTACATCTATTGCACTATAGAACAACTCTTTTTTCCTGATTTGTGGCTGTGGGAACCAGTGAAGCAGCATCCATAGCCTTGGATTTAATCCCGCCTTCTGTCTATGACATCACACTGGCATATTATGTGCACGTTGTCACTGACAGCTTCAGAGACTTTGTGTACGTGTCAGTTGACAAATTACTGGACTGGAGAGAAGTAAAGGCTTAGGGTGACCTGGCAGCAGGGGGAACCAAACCTTTCCGTTCTGAGTGCTTAGGTCTTACCTCATTGACCTTCTCTGATCCTGAATTCTGCTTCCAAGCATCCATTCCAGGTTTCCTTCCATCGTTAAGTAGCAAGCATAGTTCTGTAATCCAATGACAAACAGTCTTGGCTCATTTCTTGGCAAATTAATATCCACCATAATTATATCTTGGCACATTAATTTTTATGGCTAATGGTAATCTGCATCTTAAACAGATATGGCCTTTTTCAGCAAACAGTTGAGGCAGATCTAAATTGTCCACTTCTTCTAAATTAGATGTGTTACAAGGATTATATTTTTTCTGATAGTAATCATTCTTCAACATCTTTCTGCCCCTTTTTGTGGATTAATTTAATTGTGTTGCAGCAGGTTTTGTGGGCTGTGCTAGTCAATTGGGTGCAGGACTGCGTTGAGGTGGCTTTCTATAGGAAACCTTTCTGCTTGTAGTTCACAGTCTTCCTCCAGGGGGAGCTGCTGCTAAGAAACCCAGCTATGCATCTCCAGGATTATGACACGCCCACTGTCACATTGCATGGACCAGTGTTTTTAGGAGCAAAACTCATTTTCAACTAGAACTAGAAGACGTTTTAAAAGAAAAATATCACGAGGCTGGACATTTGCTATGTAAACCTACGTATATCAAAGAAATAAATCAAAAGAGTAAACAAATAGACAATTTGAGAGGCACACTTATGTAACCTGTAAATAAAATTAACGTGCCCTTGTGATGCAATAGCTAGATTTTCTCTCAAGTATGTGGCGGTTCAGATGGTTATATAAGGGAGAGAGTTCAAACTGCAGGCCAGGAACCTGCTTGAAGACATAAGTCAGAAAAAGGCCTTCACATGTGGAGGGAAATGTTGCTCTTAGCTATCAACCATTTGAGTTCAGTCACTTACATTTCTTTTCAAACAGTTTGGTTGATGATGTCATAGTTATCTTTAATATAGATTTTAATGATATTCTGTTTATTAAACAAAGCAGATCATCCAAGCTGCAGTATTGCCATTTTTTCCCACGCGTGTAAAACTGACTCCTTTTCCCTGAATGAAAATGGAAACTTGGCAAACTGCAAATAGTTGGAAGGGTGTCACATATGTGGGTGTCTGCATGGCCATTATGCTCTTTGGTGTAGAGCATTTGAAAAATGAAAAACATGCAGCATAAGACATTCCTTTTCCCCAGTGGCACAAGCATTATTAATTATAATTCGTGCAATATTTAAAATGTCGTTCATATTGAAGTAACATGACAAAAAATATGTGGTCATATTGATCTGCAGGTCCTTTAAACTGGTTTTCAGATGAATTTATTTTAGAATGAGAGGAGCTGGCAAAGCTGAACGGAGTAACAGGAGTGTTAAAAGATATATAATATTTCCATATTGTCCTCTAAAAACATCCTTTAAAATGATCTGCAATTATTTAATTTTTGGGTCAAATATATAAAAATCATAGAGAAAATAACTGGCAATATTTGATGCTGGAGCCCTGCGATGGCAGCTTGGTGGCTCAGTGGGCAGTGTGACTGCCTCACACCTCCAGGGCTGTGGCTCTGGATCCTGCCAGTTGGTCCACATTTTTGCTCCCTCCGAGGTCCTGGTAGAGAATACCATGTTTGTCTTAATGGGTATAATTTAAATTATTCTCCATTTTTAAGTCCAAAAAATAACCCATGGACACATCATGCTTTAAAATAAATTAATGCAGGATTTTGAACATTACTGTGGGGGCGTTGATGTGTTTTTATGTGCTGATGTGTGTGATGACAATGGCTGAGTTATAAGGAGCTTAACTGAAGGAGCCACACGTCATTCAAAGATGTCTGTAAGTATTTAGTACTGATGGCAGAACTGAGGTTCTAAAAGTCAAGGTCTCAACCCATTTAAACCCCTATTAGTCACTTTCCATTTTAACCTAATGGGAAGCAGTGAAGCATCCAACAGGAAGCTGGTTCAAGTAGCCAGAATTGAGAAGCTCATTTCTCCCGTTGTTGGTATTTAGACCCTGTTTCACTTTATTTTTGCTCACAGATAGGATGGATGGATCCACCGTGGGCATTAGCTTAGAGGCAGAGTCACCGCCAGGAAGTTGTACAGCTGCTCCGCTGTCTTAAGATGCGAGCGATTTCTGCATGACAGTCGTGGTGACCTTTGACCTCCGTCCCAGCTGCCCAGGAAATGTGGCATGTGCATCCGGTTGAAAGGGCTGCTGTGGCACGTCTCAGAGGAGGAGGGTTGATGGATTATCTACACGGGCATGTTGGAGGGAGGGAAGGCTAACTGTGATGTGCAGTTTTGCGTGCATTTGTGTACATGTGTGTGAATGAGAGATTTAAGGAAAGTGGTGTGCTGACATCTTTGCACAGCATCTACCAGTTTTACCCCAAGTAAGAACCTTTCACTGACACATGTTGACTGTCTCCCATCTTCAGGGGCAGCCTGTTTGAAGAGTGGATGATTTTGCAGGAAGTCTTGGAGCTATTTGGTGTGACAAGTAAGGTGACCAACTAATCCATGTGAGGAGCGACACTATGAGCTACTTCAGGTTTTACAAACTACTTTAAAACTGAAAGGCTCCTGTGTTTGGTTAATTAGTTCAGTTCTTTGTACTTTTACTGGTTTGTTTCCTTGACCTAAAGACTCATCCAGCTGTTTCACATTAACATTAGTGACACATGCATGATTATAGGAGACTGACCAATCAGCACACAGCAAGGCCTTAGTTCTCAAATCCGGGTCCTTTTAATTGAAATGGTTGAAATGGTGGTTTACAGCTCATAGTGTCTGTCCTGACATGGACTAGATGGTCCCCCGATCAACAAGGGAAGAGTTTACAATGTTCCTTAAGCTCCACTAGTCTAGAATGGCAACAGAGAGGGAGCAATGATAAAAAAAAAATCTGAAACAGTTCTGAAAAAAAATTACTTAAAAGGAAAAGAGTCAGCTCCTCTTCTGCCTCTGTCTGCCTCTGTCTGCCTCTGTCTGCCTTGACTTAAGTTGAGCTATATGTCACTTTTGAGATATACTTATACACCATGGTTGAGACACAATGGCTGTTATTAGTCACATAATTTATTATGCTTCCAAAGACTTTTAAGGATTCACTGCAAATAATATTTCATAGTTGACATCTGAGCTACAAACAATGTATACTGTTGATTTTTGAAGGAGACTGGGAGATAAAGTGGTTTGCATTGCTTGCTAATTTCATGACGACAAAATATTTAATAGTATTAATTTTTTATCAATTAAAAAAAATTATCTGTTTCCTTAATGCCTGCAGTTGACTTTTTAAACTGGAATCTAACCTGTATTGTTTGAACTATTGTAATTTTGCCAGGTGAGAAAGTCGGTAACTTTTGGTAGCTTGACGCCGATAGCAAATCTTAACAATTCTTCCTTCCTAGTGTTGTCTTGTATTTCGCTGAGCACTTCCACATCCATTTTTACATACAATGGGTCGTTCGCGCGTGATGTCATGGTTCTGTTTCCTCGATTCCTTGGTGTTAGGGTTGTGCTGTTCACTTCTGCAGGACGCTCAAACGAAACTAGTCGGTCACGGATTACTTGCTAGCTAGGCTTTAGTCCACAGCCTCAATCCGGACGGACTGTTTTCTGACTTCAGAGGTAAGTGCTTAGAGCTGGTGAATTTGTCCAGAGTCATAAGCCGTAACTCTGCAGGGGTGATGAGCATTATATTAGAGAGTGTCAGTGCCCTAGTTTTAGGGACAATGCATCAACAGGAAGACGTCAATGGCATCCAACTGCGATGAACTCGAGAATCGATTCCATTGCTATATGCCATCCATTGTTTTATTTTTGCGAAACGTGCCGCTGAACTGTTATTTTTGGAATTCTATTGACGCTCGACAGGGAACAATAATTTGGGAACCGATTCAAAGGCAGGGCAACAAAGACGCCATATGTTGCCATAAAAAATGAAAGATGTTAGCCTGGAATATACCTGCTGGATATAGCCTCGGACGCGACGCGCCAACAGGTAAGCCGCCTGTTGTCACTCTTAAAAGATCTTTCCCGTTCAGCATTCGAGTTTAGCAGCATCATTACTCTTTATTATTTCATTAAGCATCAATGGAAAGTTCATATGTACATCTCCGGGGCTCCGCCTTGTTGTATGCATTATGGTACAGCAATTAGCATTTCCGGGCGGTGTTTACATTTATGAAGTCACTCATAAATTATTGCTCTTTAAAAGCTTTTGTGCGTTACTTGATACAAGCTGTAAAGTGCAGTGTGTCTCACCCAGAGAGCACAACAGGAAATACCAGGCCGGCTAACCTAATAAAATCCAGAGAGCCTAAATCATTAGCTGGGAATTCTTTCCCATAATGTTTCCGGGCATAAGCACTAACACGATTTTGATGTTAAATCAGCAGTTTCAGTGCATTTGTTCTTTTATGATCTTTGCTATAAAGTAAGAGAGACTGTGTACTTCTGTGAGGCCCATAACGTTTTCAGGTTTCCCTTTTGGTCCAGTCACTTCTGAACCTGGTTGCTGCAACGATAACAAACGTTAAATCACCGGTTCAGCATTGCAAGTGTGGCTTTTGTTTCATCGAGGCTTAGATCTTGTACACCACTCCTCTGACGACCGAGGATCCAGGTGTGACCTACAACATTCTCACCCTCGGGAGACGGTGCTGCTGAGGGCATGAAGGATCCATGTTATGTTCCCCACAAAAAGAAAACAGATATGATGCAAAAATGCTAATTTCTGCAGTGCAGTGTAGGTAGAATACATCTGAACAAACATGTCATGACCGGGATTGCACGTTTGCATTATTTATGTAATGTAGTGGAGACCGCGGATTGTACTTTTAAGAAACGGCATCCTGCAGATAATGCAATAATCCCTAGAGGATTAGAGGAGTAACGGAGGCTGAGAGCACTAATGCAGCAGTTAATGTTGTTGGTCTGATTGTGAGGTGCATTCTGCCATTCATGTAGATTTCAGAGGATGTCCGGCGGACACGTTGAACGCTGTCCGGCAAAAGTTAACCGTGTGTCCATAACCTCCTCCGGTGCAGTCCGGCCACGGCCCAGGCCGTAACCGGGAAGAGCGAGTCGGGCTGCCAGCGGCACGTGGGAAACCTGCGCGGGGAAACAACGCCGGTCATGGATGCACTTCCTCTCACTGCATACATCTGCGGTTTGGGCTCGAGAAAACTTCTATGTGGCGAAAGGAGGGCTGTAGTTAAGTCTGGCACACGTCTTCCCGTCGACTACTGGGAGCTGCTCTGTAAAGAGCGGGCCACAGGAAGGCAATTAAGATCCAGAAAGATCCACTTTTGGTCAGTTTTATTCAGAAAGCCTTAGGAATTTAAGGCTCATCGTTTTCTTTGCTATTTAAATGTTTTGGTTAGTTTTTCTTCTTGATCTACAGGCTGCCTTTCTATCTATGTTCTTCATACCTGATGTGCAAATTGAACTGGGGCTCTGGAGCCACATGCTGCTAATGCAGGAATGGTGCAGCCAGAGTGGATTAATCCTGTTCTGGTGGCGGTTCCCCTGCTCGGCCCGTGTTTGCTTCGTGACGAATGCCCGTGGGAGTCCTCGGGGCTGTCTGCCGTGAGCGCTAATTATTCTGAGGTCACCCGTTTCAGGTGCTCCCCGAAAGTGTTTTCTCAGGTAATTAAGTGGCGCACAGCAGTTAATGCTAACCGAAGCTGGCGCCGTGACGTCAAACTCCAGGCTAGGTGCAACCTGGCCCTCCCCAGACGGAGTGATGAAACCATGTTGTTGGATTGCGCACCTTCATACGCACACAGAGACACACACACACACACACACACACATTTCAGAGGATTACACCCACTTACATGTTTCATGGCATACACAGTTCTTGAAAATCCATATTCCGCTTTGCGTCGCAATGCATTCTGGGACGTTTGGAGTACGGTATATTGAGAGAAGGGGCAGGGAATCATCCACTCCCATACTAATGGGGTATGCTTATACAGAGAGCAGCTTTGGGTGCACAAGCTAGAGGACAAAATAGGGACGCCAGTTATCTATGTTATATATTTGTTTAGGTGTATGTTTATACAAATGGGGGATAATTTTGTGTTTTTTCCCATCTGAATGTTACTTCCGGTAGGTGAAGCCTTGGGGACTATGGAATCAAACTGCTGGAATTATGGAATCGGTTGAAAGTGTGTCCCTGTGTTGTACTGTCCTTAAGAGGTGAGGCGTGGGGTCAGTTTGGGTGGGGCTCTCCTCATTTGCAAGCATGCTTACCTCACTTGCTTCGGGTCTTAATCTGCACGTTTAAATGGGTAGTTAATCCAGCCATGTTCATTAGTAAAGTCTACGTAAGTAGCATTGTTTAAAATTAGCCCCGGCACCCCGTCGACCTATATAGCAAAAGGCCTGGCTAATTCTGACATCCCTCCTGTGCTGATTCTTTTGGCTCGAGCCGCATGAGATTCAAAAGAAATACATACAGACACACACACACACACACACACACACACACACACACACAGGTTCATGATTATATCTTTGTGGGGACTCTCCATTCATTTCTATGGGGAAATCTCTAATACCAACATGACAACCTTAATCCCTACCCAGCCATAACCTTAACCATGAGTAACCAAACAAAATACAAGACTTCTGGTATTTTTGTTTTTTTCATTGCAGTCAGAGATCTTTGCGGGGACCTGAAAAGTGCTCCCCACAACATCAAAATAACAGGTTTTTATCACATTGTGGGGAACATTTGGCCCCTACAATGTAGTATAAACATAATCCACACACACACACACACACATTATATACTGTATGTATTGTGTATATATATAAAATCGCAACTCAGCACAGGTTTTCCTGGAAATACAATTATCTATTTTTTTCCCTCTTCTCCAGTCCCACAGAGAGCCACACGTGTGCGATAGCAAACACTGCTCGCTTTCATCTGACACAATAGCCATTGTACTGTGACCTTTTGTTTTGCAGCCTTCCCTGTTCTGAGGTGGCCCTAATTGTCTTTATTTCTGCCTCGGGCACTGCACCCCTTCACCCCCCTCGCCTTTCCTACGCAGTGCGATGGGGTGATGGGCAGTCCGGCTGGGGGGGGGGGGCGTTCCCTGGCACTGCCAGCTGGTTCGCTGACGTGCATGGCTAAATGCTTTAAGAGGACTTAAGGCAGGCCGAGGATGGCTTTGACGCAGGCGGGCTATTAAAGGCCTCTGTTGGGTTTTTAAGGAGAACTGGTCTCGCTGGCTGCTTACAGGACTGTTTACAGTTCCGCGTGTCACTCGGAAAGCTTGCTATAAATAGAATAGTGCAGGTTAATCGCCGCTATCGGCCTAAATGAATTAACCGAGGAATTTAACATAAAGAGAAGTGGGTCTGGAGGGTTCAGAACGCAAAACTCAAAGAGTTACAGCTTTCCTGAACGTGAATGGTGCGTCTCCCCTGCAACTCGTAAACGGTAAAACGTTCTCCGCGTTCCAGGTTTATCCGTGTAGGCTGCTGTCCTCTCCCTTGAACCGCCAGCATCCTGAAGGAAATGTGACAAACCTCAGCTGCGGCACTAACACCGCGGACTGACGCGTTTACAGGAGCCAGGGACAAAAATAGTATGGCGTACTGCTCACCGGAATACAGATTTCTGCCGCCTCCTGCTCTGGCTGCTTTAGTTATTTGTCCAGCTGATTCTCCAGCATACAGTGATCTAGCTGCTCTTTAATTTCTGCAGGTTCTAACAAAACCCAGAGTTTTATATGGTAACTGGGGGAGCTTCTGAGAATGAGGCGTGTTTTAAATGGCGTGCTGTAGGGAGGGGGCCGTAGGTGATCGTCGATGTGGAGCCGACAAGCCAACGATTGTCTGTTTTTGGATAACGGTCGCCCAGTACCCCAGCTCACAGCCAAGTTCCGGGGTTTCCATTCTCCTCTCTCTATCTTTATAAACCCGGGCTGAGGGGTTAAGCATTTCCCTGGCCGAATGAGCCCAGTAAAACTACATTTTTATCTTTCTAGTCCGCAAGACGGCAGAGCTCGACAGCTAAAAATAGCCCCTGCTGGCTTGCTGCCTGTGGCTGTGGAACAGGTCAAATTATGTAGAAAGATGAAAATTTAAAGGCACCTTGCTCTTGGCTATGCTCTCAGTCCTGCATCCCTGATCACCAAGACCTGGTTCTCTGAGAGTTCTACTTACCTTTGAATGTTCTTAATGCCATTTTGACTCCTGTGAATTTCTTATTGCCAGTCCTTTGCCGTCGTTGCAGTATCTGGCTTTGTAAACACTCCGGAAAGTGTGCATAGCAGCAGATGAGGAGTTATAGGGATCTGTAGAACGGTGTCTTGGAAAGTATCTCCCGGCTTTTCCAAAATCCATGCTGCGTTGTGAGTCGATACGGGAGTCCCGCTTTGTTTTATTGGCAGATAGCCGCCATCATCGGGATCAGGGACTTGATCTTCCAAGCTTTGATGGTGCAGTTGTTGGTCCTCCTGCTCGTTGTCACAATGCCCCATACAGCACATTGATAGCTGCACAGATAGTTATGGGATTGCATGGGCGCCAGTGGCCACGTTAATTGAAAGTAATTATGTTTCTGTCACTGTTACGGTTGGGCTGGTCTGCATTCACGCGGTCTGGCATCTTCTACAGTAGCAGGTCTGCAAAAATGGTTACAAAGTTAATTTGGTGCCAAATCTCATTTGCCTCTGTCGTTATGGCTATGGGTTTATTTGTTTAACGTGAAAATGTTGGCAGATAGTGGCACTCGGTGTTGGGCAATTTATTCCATTAGCTATTTATTTATTCTTGTGCGATTCAGCAGTTTGCCAGTTGTGGGTCTGTTAAAAAGCTGCATTCAGAGATCGTGTTCCTGGACGTGCTGCCCAGTTTGTTTTGTAGTTAAAGCTGGTTTAGTGAAAAGACACAATGGTATTTAAAATAACCCCTAAACAACTGCATAGCAACTACGCTAATGCATATGGAACATTTTGCAAGCACTAATATGAATGATGGAGCAGCACATTTTATGGAAAGTGCTACAGGGCTGTAAGAGAAGAGAGGGACAGACGAGGGAAGCAGGCAGCATCTTCTGAAAGAAGATCATTTTCTGAGCTGTCAGTGTCAGTTTTAATGTGAATTTTCATTTTAATGCATCATTTATCAGTGGCTCAGCATTGTTAACTTCATCCATGTGTATTTCCTTCAATTGCTACCAGCACTAACTCGTTAGGAGGATGCAGAGATAATAGTGAAGGAGGAAACAGCGTAATCATGAAGCCGGGGGAACTGGGAGGAGGAGGAATGGGAAACCCTCTTTCAGAGAATGCAGAAAACATTTCATAAAATAAATAACGGGGAATATCAGTCAGGGTAGTTTGTGTTCCTTGATACAAAAACTGGAGGGAGAGAGAGAGACAGAGATGAAGAAGACAGCTGTGTTTAGCTGGTATTTTTAAGCGCTTGATTGCTGCTCCAATCCCCTAGTCTTGCCTGGCCTATTTTTGGCTCGGGACGGCCATTGTTCTTCCCCCGTCACCTGTGGGCCGAACCGTTGTTGATTCACATGCTAATGAGCCTGATCCCGTTCCAGTCGGCTGAAGGAGCGAGAGAGGAGGAACAAGACGAGACACGGTTCACGGGAGCTGCCGGACGCGACGTCTCGACCCGGGAGGCGTGGAATTCCTCCTCCTCTTTCGTTAAAAAGAGGGGAAAGACTTTCCAGTCGGCAAAATCAATGAAGACAGGAGTAGACAGACTGAGAAGGTGGAAAAAAAAGATGGCAGTTTTTGTTCGTCTCTTCTGTCAGGGCTAGGGTTTAAACCACAGAATTTTTTTTCATATGCGTGTCGGGTCCTATTCTATCGGGATCCGGGGATCTAAAAATACCCCTTGGCAAAAAGCGAGGACTCTGAGCATTGTGATTCCCCTCCCCGCCACTCCGGAGGCAGACGGGGGAGTGAAAGAGGGAGAGCAGGGTTTCACTGAGCTCTGCCTCTCTGGGGAGGGGAGAAGAGCGCTCTCTCCCCTGCGGGCGGCCGGGGGGCCGGCTTAGTGTGACAGGAAGCGTTGGGCGGCCATGAGCCAGCCCGAGACGGGGAGCTGGCGCTGAGCGGACGATGCTGCAGACGATCTACGAAGGTGACTCGTGCTTCCCCACGGTCGGGCTCCAGGCACCCAGGCAGATTCCAGCAGTGTACGAAATGCGCGGCGTGGACGGCTCAGGTGACAGAGGTGGCACTTTTTTTTTGGACTCCAAGGGGATCTCTCTCTCTCTCTCTCTCTCTCTCTCTCCTCTCTCTCTCTCTGTTGCTCTCTCTCCTTCCCTTCCTCACTCTACACCGAGGTGGGCTTTCAAACTTCTCTCAGTGACAGTACAGCATGCCCGTGCCCTGCTCCCTGCGTCTCCACGCTGTCCTTCCCCATGCGCGGCACCGTCTCTCTGTTTTTGCGCGTGTGATGGCTTGACTCCCCCGACCTGCCGTCTGTGCTGCTGCGTCTGTGCTGCTGAGTTCTAATCGGGTCTCTGGCCGCAGAGGGAACCTCCTGCTGTGAGTATGGCATCTTGTTGGCGACTGGGTGATCGAGCGCGTGGATGCATCGCGGGCTGGGTGCGGGGAGGGGGGGTGGGGGGCGTTAAGTGTAGATCAGGGAGGCATCGAGCATTTTCCAGATGCGTGGACATCTCATCCTGACGGCTTTTTGAACCAAGCTCCTGTCGCACCTCTGGGCAGGATGAAAACGTGGGTCTGAACGCTGCAAACAGGCATGGGGCGGGGGGGGGGGGAATCTCCAGCATGCAAAACAGCTGAATGCTGTGACCATTATTGCTGAACAGCTGTGGAAGGCTTCTATTCCCCCAAGCATTCTGTTATACATAAATGCTTCTGTTTCTCACCCTGGTGGAAGCTGACATCGCGCTCAGTAACCGCTCCGCTCTCTGACTCAACCGGGTTAGTTCTGTGACTCAAACCACTCCTGCTCCGCAAGCTCTGGCGTTACTTCTGTCGACTAAAATTAAATCTGGTAAAGGAGTACAGTGTCAGCCAGTGCGTCACGAAGGCCTGGGCTGTCGGGAAGCCCGTCGGCTCTTCACATTAAATTTGCATAAAGGTAAAGTCACATTCTTCTTTCAGCCCCGTTTACGGCTCCCAGTGTTTGGTAAACATCGGCAAAAATAAGGCACTCGCCTTATTGGGTGACGAGCCGCTCAGCCCTGTATTGTAAGCTTCTCCTTACCTGGGTTACACATTTATTTATGGGCTACCTTATCCATCACTTCCCTAGCAATTACGATCCAGGGAAGGATTCACAAGGCATGTGAACATCATTTTTAACCATCAGTGGTAATGTAATAGGCACTGGATGTTTACCCAGCTGCCAAAAACAAAAAGATTTATTTCTTTCTTTCGGGGCGGGGGAGGGAAGTATTGTGCTGGGAGATATTTCTGTAATGCAGCTAGACAGCAGCAGTTTCACTGGGAGGTTATTAAAGTTCCATCTCATTACTAATCTTGTCTTAGGTTGCGGATGCAGTAGAGGACTGAGTGTTTTAGGGTCCTTTAAATGCCTGCAGAGTCTTAGGCCTCTTGCTTATTCTGTGGGTCAGCTATTCTTAGATGTTTTATTTTCAGCTTATGGCATTAGGGCGCTAAGATTAGGCCGCTAGGCGTTGTCATCTTGTCTAAGTTAGCTCCAAATTTAACAACACACCGGAACAGTTATTTATAGGGTGTTTGTCATTTTTCAGTCCCATCGACTGTGGTTCCGGCGAAGGTGGAGAATTTTCAGAAGCCTCTAGCTCTGCCCACATGCTGGCCTTATCTTGTTTCATCTTTTTGTGGGGGGGGGGGTGGTTGTGGTACGTGCCTTTATCTAACGTGCAAACCAGGTTGGCACCGCAAGCGATGCCCGGTTGTTGTCAGGAGAGGTTTGTGGCTGAGCCAGTGCTTGTGACCGTTCCTTTAATAGGCAATGCAGTAACCATGCCATACCTGTGGGGGGCGATCAAGAGAAATTTTTCAAGCAACATCTACTGCTCGATTTTACCTATTGTGCAAAATACATAACTGGTTAGTAAAGCCTTTCATTATTACCATTTACCAAAAATATTTTCTCACTGTGTCTGACAGCTTGGTCATGACGTTAATGTCAACTACTAGTCAATAGCTATAAGGAGTCAAGGGATATGAGCCAATGTGTTGCAAGGACTCATATTAGGTGTGTATAATAATAGCGAAATGTTGTGATGCTTGATTTAGAGATCCGGCTGGATATAACAGCATCGGCCTGGCACACAAAGGCGAACTGAAAATCGATTCCATGCAGGTTCTTCTTCAATCACAGAAGCGGCATGGAACCTAACAGCATGGAACATGCGCTTATACATAAAACACTCCCAGTTGTCTTGAGCTAGGTCTTTAACCGGATTTGCCAGAATTAATACTGTCCATATCTTTGCAAATAGGTTAAACTGTAGACCGATTTAGACCAATGTCTGCTAGGCAACTAGAGAGAGAAAACACTTTTTGTTATTATTAGAAATCCCATGATAGCATTATTAAAAAGATAAATTGTTATATATGACTCATTTGTCAAGGCAAAGAGTGCAGTGTGCAACAGGTGTGCCTTCAGGGAAAGGAATATGCGAGTGATGTGTGAGATAATGAATAACGTGTATGTGGTCATTCCCAAGGGTTAGGGCAGGTGTCACATTCTGCTGCGGACGCCCCCGTCGTTAGGACTTGGCGCTCCTCTGCAGAATGTGGTTAAGAGCCGAGCGAAGTAATACGTCCCTCTGGGGGATTTATGGGCCCGTTACTAACTTTGGGGGGATGATAAAGTTGGATCTGACCGCACATACTCTGCCTTGTGCTTACGGGAGTCACGCCACACCCACATCGTAATTAAACTGCATGCCAAAAGCAACAGATTCTCCATGCACATCTGCATAAACCACCCCGCCCCCACCCCCTCGGCAACGTGGCATCGCCCAGTCGTCCTATCGCAATTCTTTTTGTCTAATGAACAACAATTATGTCAACGCGCTATTTTTTCTCCTGATGCATAAATATATGTATATCGAGCGACAAATGGTATTTTTTCGAAGCCCAGAAGGTGTTGTTTCGGCACGGCACGGAAATGCGATTTCGCAAGGCACTGCAGTAATGCATGTCCCGTTTTTGTGAGAAAAGCTACGGTGTATTTTGCGGGTGGGCACTCCTGGTCAATAGATGGCTCGTATACTAGAGATGCGCCTCAGATGCAGTGACAGATGCCTGACACTCAAAAATAATGCCCCGTTTCCTGCTTTAGACACGCCGGCCGCCCCAAAATAGACTTGCACATAATGCGAGAAGCAGCAGTGCAGTTCGTCTGTCTATTCCTGCGATAAAATAAGACACGGCTTTTGCACCCATCAGCCACTATTAATATAGAGGAAAGCAGAAGCGTGCTGTGGGTTATTCTGGGACCCCTGTGAGTTTCACTACACACAGGAAAATGAAATGTTAGCATGCCGATTTTTGTTTTTCTACAACGTGCTCTGTTTCCCGTGCCGTTCGAGGCTTTTTTATTCCCTGTGACAATGACATTTCGCTCTTGCGACGGCACCCTGTCCCCGTCAGACACTTGTTGCGAATTTCTCGTCCCACGCTTGTAATTCTACGCACTAAAGCTAGCGTCGCGCTGAAGTAGGGCTGTGCCGGAACCATCAGTCTCTATAATGATCGGCGTGAAAGCCTCGTACCGGGAAAGGGAACGGAAATGTATCGATGGCCGATGCAGAGTTTTGCCAGCAGAGGTTCTCAGTAAAAAGTCAAAGTGTCAAGTACGTGAGATGCTGTAAATGCGCTCCTGTGAGTCAGACTGCGCGCTCCACCCACGAAAACAGTCCTGTCAATCAAACCCCCAGACCAATCAACGAGCTCCGTATATCTGCGATACCGGGGCCACGATTTGCACCAGGATGATACCGGCAGACGCGAGGTCATTTTCAGGACAGTTCTGCCTAAAACCTTTTTGAAATCCCTGGGGATCTGTCGTAGTGTGTCTGCTAGTTGACAGAAAGTAGTATTTTAAAATGATGTAAAAGCCATCTGCAGATTTTTCACCCATGTCAAAACAGACGAATGTGAGTCGCTCTCACAGTCCCCGTGTGAAAATGTGGCTCAGAAGGCTTTATTTGTGGGGGGCGCGTGGTGGCTCACTGGGTAGCCCTGTCGCAGTACACCTGTATGGTTGGTGGTTGAATCCCATCTCTGTTTTTTGTGCGTGGAACTTCTGTGTCCTGGGGTCATGTGGTATGGCTTCTTGGTGTTTCCCACTAAGTCGTCATTTGGTGTGTTCACCCTGAAGGTCCGGCATCCCAGCCTTGTTTACTGCACTATTGGGATAGGGTCCAAGTCCCCCTGTTCAGAACTGGGTTGATGTTATATTTAGAAATTACATTTACACCTTAATTGGCCATTTTATTTTAAATAAATAGCAGATAGAAGTTCCTTCTTGTTTTGTTAGAGTGCCAGAAAGGAAAACAAATATCGTAAATCGGTCTGATGGAGTGAACGCCGCTGATTTGGGGTCCCGGGCCGGTCTGTTCTCAGGCGGTCTGTTCTCAGGCGGTCTGTTCTCAGCCGGTCTATTCCCAGGCGGTCTGTTCCCAGGCGGTCTGTTCTCAGGCGGTCTGTTCCCAGGCGGTCTGTTCTCAGGCGGTCTGTTTTCAGGCGGTCTGTTCTCAGGCGGTCTGTTCCTAGGCGTCCTCCGGCAAGGCGCAGTACCTGCACTGCGAGAGTAAATGCCGGGCTGTGCTTTGAAATCGCTTGAATGTGGGTTTCTGCCTCATGAAATGTGGCCGCGTGTTTATCCAGTTCTCAGTTCACATATGTTTTAATGCATTAGATATAGCACTTTGTTAAGGGAGTGTTAAGTGTTAAGGGAAAGATGTGGGCTCAGGGTCTGCCCTCCAGGGGGCGGCAGTATGGGTTCTGTGGTTCAGTAGGGGTTCTGTGGTTCAGTACGGGTTCTGTTGTTCAGTACAGGTTCTGTGGTGTACTCATGGTGCTCCCATAATTTCCCAAAGCATATCTGGACTAGCACTCCAGGAAGTTACCTTCAGGGCCTGCCTCTCCTATGTTTGAGTTAGATGCATTGAGCAGAGCGCCCCCTGTCAAGCGCCGCAGGTGACGCACCTCTGCAGCAAGCAGGTGTTTTTCCATGCTATATTTAGC